GATTTCACAAAAAAACGCTCACTTCATACCGGTACACCTAGTATATCGTAAAATATTGCGTATCTTTTCTTTGCAATGTCCAAATTCATATCATCGTACGGATAACACTCTGAATTTAGATAGAGTTTTGCGTTGATCAAATTGCAGTTGTCGAATTGAGTTATATTTTCCGCCATGACATTCTTCCGACCAGTCTGTAGTGCAAAAATAACATATAGCGGATTTTCCAAATTAGTGGCAGTTTTGACAGGCCACGCGTGTTTAGTCGTGTTTTGTAGCAGAGGAAATTTATACAGGTCCCACGAGCGGAAACTCATGCTCAGGTATCGGCCGTTCTTCAAGGTTCTCAACAGGGAGAGCTTATTGATATCGTTCAAGAGTACGTGAGGCATTTTCCATTGTATCTTGAATAGTTCCACCTTAGGCTCCAACGCCGATGATCCATGTAGACAGTTGTTGTCACTGCGCGATCGTATGAGAATCAATTCGTGACGCGCATTAATCAATATACGCTTATAGTCTTCATAAAATTCTAGTAACATGCTGATCGGTACGCAAAAGTTGAAGTATCCATCTGCCGAATAAGCGTTGATCGTATCCCACGCAACATTTTTCATACCAACAATTTTGTCAGAAGATAACGATACATTCTTGAGCGTGGAAGTTATTCCAACGTTTCTGTTACAATCAATCTCCACACCATCCAGTTCATAACGAATCTTATCAAACATGAATGCGAAGCAATTATTTCCTAATGTTACAGCCACATTTTCGGCTGCCGCTTGTGCAATTATTTTTCCCTCAACATAAAGATAACTCTCGCATGGCAATGTGTATAAATCCTGCTGTTGTACTGGTATTCTTATCTCATCGCTATATCCTAACGTTGTGTTGGCGTATGGGTTGTACGTGTGAGATTCAATCTTGACAATGCGATCGTCAAAGATCGGCTCACCTTCAATGTTCAAAATGTCAGTTATATCTTTTTTTCCTCAATTATTCCGTACGATAAATCCCAGAGATTTCAAAAACTCTACGTTCAATGCACTAATGAGTTTCTTTCAAGCGGAGGATTTTGTACCGCTGATTGCGCGTCTCGAAAAAAATTTTTTTCCCACTTGTTTCTCCTGTTGATCCAATTGATTGACCACAAGCATCTCATAGATTTCACCTAATATCGTCGCCGTCGTATGTGCAACCTGACGGTAATCTCTTCTCCTCGAAAATCAAGCGATCGTCCTTCTTGATCCATAACAAGCACCGTTAAATCCGTAATGCTCCGTGCGATGATTGGAAGGTAAATGACATGTGCCGGCGTTTCCGATATTTTATATCCTGGTGCCACTCTAGGCGAGAATTCATGTATCGTATGTACACGTGTACCGTTGCTGTATGCACTACTGACAACGTTGCATTCAATACGAATAATATTCACGTTGATAATCTTAATCGGCAAGTCCGATTCATACCATCATTGCGGTTCTAATATACGATTCGAGGAGAATCCCAAGAGTGAGCCAATGTTGTTTGGTTTGCTAAAATTTATTCTATAAGCGCATTTTATTTCGCTTTTCATCGTATTAAGATTGGCGCGA